TGTTAGTTTACATAGTTTGTCGTGCTCAGTCGACCTTAAAACACAAGAGCCTGAGTGCTGAAAATCTCAACCTCCTTTTGTTTTGAATGTCATCATCACTTCGCTGTTGATATAATGCAGTCAAGTGACTCAGCTTAGCAGGCAGTGTAAACCCTCATCGTTTAGCAGGTAAAACCTGAAAGGTGTTCTTTTTTTTTTTTCTTAAACCAAAAAAAAACACGCTTTCAGTGTGTTTACATACACTCAGACCCACACATAACAGCAGATCATGTTGTTAGGACCAACTGGGCTAAAGTTATTTCAGGTCAAATTCAGAACATTTTCTGTTTGTCTTTACAGGTTGACAAGGGTGTTGTACCCCTCGCTGGAACAAATGGAGAGACCACCACTCAGGGTAGGAGACAGTAGACGCACAAGTTTGAGAACTGAAATGAACTTCACGGAAGCCCTGTGTGTTTCTCATGGCTGGTTCTGTGCGTTGTTTGAGTGCAGGTCTGGATGGGCTGTCCGAGCGATGCGCGCAGTATAAGAAGGACGGCGCCGATTTCGCCAAGTGGCGTTGTGTGCTGAAGATCAGCGAAACCACGCCGTCTGAGCTGGCCATCTTTGAGAACGCCAACGTGCTGGCACGATATGCTAGCATCTGCCAACAGGTTAGTGTGGTACTATAGAGGATTCCTTTCCTTTTTTTGGAAAGGACACTAGTGATCATCAAATGGTAGTATTGTATATTTCTAAAATACTGGTGTTAAATTTACACTCTGTAATCTCTTTCAGAATGGTATTGTTCCAATTGTGGAGCCTGAGATCCTTCCCGATGGAGATCATGACCTGAAGCGTTGCCAGTACGTCACCGAGAAGGTAACATGTTGCAGAATGTGGAACTCTGCCACCTTTATCTGTTCTGGAGAGTTCAAGTTTGGACTTACGTGCTGTCGTTTGTCTCCTGCTGTTAGGTCCTTGCTGCAGTGTACAAGGCTCTGTCGGACCACCACGTGTACCTCGAGGGGACACTGCTGAAGCCCAACATGGTCACAGCTGGACACTCCTGCCCAACTAAGTACAGCAGTGAAGAAATCGCCATGGCTACTGTCACTGCTCTGCGCCGCACAGTGCCTCCTGCTGTCCCAGGCAAGATACTTGTGTATATAATAGGAAAAATTCAGGGAGTGGGACAGTATCGGTGTGCAACAGCAGGGCTCCAAGTGACTTAATAGAGCAGCATATTTAAAAGTTAAACCATTATATGTTATCATGGATAAACTGCTAGCTGAAACATGCTTTTGTCAGTTAGATCATCCCTTGGAATTTGGATGAGTTAACTAGTAAATTGGCAGTCTTGGCATTTTTCAGATTGCTTTGATTTCCTAATAGTAATACTTAAATCTCTAGATTCTTTCACTCGTTTATATCTACCTGCAGAGTGCAAACATGCAGGAAAAGATGCTTTCGAAAACCTTTAAAATCTTCCTCGACATCAGGTATGAGCAGATCGGTAACTCGTGTTTCTTTTGTATAAACAGGGGTGACATTCTTGTCTGGTGGCCAGTCTGAGGAAGAGGCCAGCGTGAACCTTAATGCCATCAACAACTGCCCACTCCCCAAGCCCTGGGCCCTGACTTTCTCCTACGGCCGTGCCCTGCAGGCCTCAGCTCTTAACGCCTGGAAAGGACAGCTGAACAACGAGAAGGCCGCCACCGAGGAGTTCGTCAAGCGTGCCGAGGTCAGACCACAGGAAGGGACATCAGATGTGTCCTTTGTACTGCTAATTTAAAAAAGCAAAACTTTCTTTGCTCTTTTGCTTATGTCTGTTTTGTTTTTTTTTCTTCTCCAGGCTAACGGTCTGGCTGCACTCGGCAAGTACGAGTCTTCCGGAAGTGGCACCGCCGCAGCCCAGTCCCTCTACGTGGCTAATCACGCCTATTAAACAGCAAACTACCACGTTGAGCTGTGGCATAGTTATAGTCTTATATCTGCTCTGCTGTCTCCCCTCTTCACTCCTCCATCAATCACAGGCCTGTGCTGTCCGCTTTACTTTAGAGTTCTTAAATTTACATTATTAGATATGTGTGTATTTGAAACCATCATGTGACATCACAGTACAAAAGGAAACAGACATGGGTCATCTGTCTTTTTTATTTTTTTTTTATTTTTTATTTTTTTTTATTTCCCCCAGTTTCAACAAATGGTTAGTTTTGAGACAATTTGAAGTTAAACGGTTGGAGGATAATCAAAAATGTTTAGTCAGTATTCATTCCACATTCCTTCTTTCACGCAGCTGTCTCTGCCCACTTCACACAAAATATCAAATCACTCCCAAGCAGGCCAGATCAGCATGTTTGTGTCAGTGTTTCGCTTCTGTCAGAACGGCATTTGTTCATTGTTGAAACGCTCTACTAACATCCGCACTGACACCAAGTGGGACCAACTGCTTATTAGTGGCATCAGAACATGCGTTAAGGAGCAAGATGGCAGACGAGGTGAAAATGTTGAGCCGAGTTGATCTTTTGAACAAAAGTGTGGAGTGCTCTGTTGTGCTTTCAGACAGATGTATATCTAGTAGATGTTAGCAGGCACATTATACTGTAATAAGCCACTACACACCAGGATTCTTCCTTTTTTTTTCTTTTTCTTTTTTTTTTGTTCTTGTGCTCCTTATCACCATTATTGAATTTTAAAACAAACAACCATCTTGTGTGTCTGTTCATTAGCTTAACATTACATGCAGTAATCGATGTATTCAGTTGTGTGAAGGTGTCAATATTATGTGATGCTAGTGTGTCATCCTCCCACCTGATTTCCCCCCTGCCTGCCCTACCGAACGACCAGACTAGTTTCTATCAACATTCACATCCAATGGACCAATGGCGTGGGGTCAGCAGCGGGGAAACGGTCGCTGCTGTGTTGGAGTACTGTGCCGTTTGTGGTGTTAATATTGTTCTTTAAGCACTTGGTGTGTCAAATAGTGGAGAAAAATAAACTAAAACCTTAAAACATCAGATGCTTTTGTGTGATGGAATTTTCTACACCTGTCCTGATACTGGCGATGACAGAGTTATGCATGTTAGTCAAATATTGCTACTTTATTATTTAGAATCTTTACTGCCTCTACATTTTAGAAATCAATGTTGAGTATTTAATTATATTTAGTTGGCTGATATCATTACCTTTACACAATCAGCTTATTGTGATTTGAAATTAAATGGCCAACACTAATCTGCATATTTAAACTTTATTTTCAGTTTCCTGGAGGTGTGTATATGCCTACATGCACCCCCTTTCTGAGTCAAAGTCATGTGTTTTGCGCTCAATCTTGCAGATTGGATAGACAGTCGCATGGAAGCAGCTCAGGGTGTGTAGGCATGACCTGCTGAAGTTAAAGCTAAAGATCAGAATGTAACACGTAGGATATTACTTTGGTCAGGGTTTACGGAAACTGGTCCAAAAAAAGGGAAAAAATATCCAGTGAGCAGTATTTCTCTGGATGATAATGCTTTGATGGCAGAGGTGACTGGCCAGACTGCTTTGAGCTGATAGAGAGGCAGCAGTAACTCAAATAACCACTCAATAGCTAAGATGAGATAAAACTTTATTAATCCCTCGGGTGGGTTCCTCTGGGAAATTCGGTTTCCAAAAGCACAGCACCGACAGAAGTTACAGTTACAGAATATTATATATATATATATATATACATACACACACACACATATAAATACAGAGACAAATATAAATAAAATATACGAGGGGATAAATAGAATAAATAGGAATAAAAATACAAGTGAATTGCACATTTCAAGTATTGAGGTCTATTGCACCATTGACTAAGATATGCAGAAGAGCATCTATGAATGCACTACACATCATGTGGCTTAAAGGAGATGTGCTACCGCAGCAGAAGACCACACCAGCTAAAATTTCTTTCAGTGGACAGTGAGTCTGTGTGAATTTATGAAGCCTTTTTAAAAACAACTACGGGGTCTCCTTCACCAAATGTAAAAGACAAACTTGGGCCAAAAGGTAAAAAATATAGAAAATCGCTCCACAATTTTGCAGCTGCAACTTCGAAAGCCCCGTCACCTCTGAGTTTATGTTGTGTCTTCAGAACCAGCAAAAGTCTCTGGTCTGCTGACCTGAGAACGAGGTGGGACATAAGAGTGCAATAGCTCAGACAGATAAAATTATGTAGAATCATTAAGAGACTTAAAGACAAATAAAAGGATTTTTAAAATGGATTCGTAAACTAACTGGAAGCTAAAATTGGAGTGATGTGCTCTTGCATCCTTGCACCAGAAAAAAATCGAGCGGCGCTGTAGGTGAGCAACTGGCCTGGCCAATTCCAATGAAAAGTGCATTGCAGTAATTGACACAAGAGGTTTTAAAACAGAAGTATTAATGTTTCAAGGTTGGACTAGAGTGGCTTGACCTTTGGCAATCATCTCAACTGGAAAAAGCAGGCTTTTGCTACAGTGTTCACATAAGCTTTGAGCTTTAGAGAAGGATCCACTTTCACTCCTAAATTAGTGATAATGGATTTCTCATATGGGGCCAATGAGGAAAGGTCAATACAGGGGCTGCTGCTGGTGCCGCTGAATCTAAACAACGTGACTTCTATCTTGTTCTCATTAAAATTCAAGTGATTTATCACCATCCATCTCCTGATGTCAATAAGGCCGTCATGGAGAGGCAGGACAGAGCATTCAGTCGTGTGCTAACATGAGGTCTAAAGTGTACCTTATGTTGGGTCCAAGATGTGTATCACCATTTTCACTAGCATTACTGATGCTACCAGTTTCTTAAAATTATTTAGATGAAATAAGCACTTTATGAAAGGGTATCTGTGGTGTCCAGTAGAGTCCAAGGGTCACCACACAAATCACCCAAATTTAACAAAGCTGACCTAAAAGTAATGAGGTCACCTGTTTAACACCAGGACCAGCTGGACAAATCAGAGCAGGGTAAATACATAACTGAGAGAGCAGCTGTTTCCTCCCTTATTGCCTATTCTGGGTGTCCTTGAGCACCCTGGCTAACTTCCATATATCATCCCAGGGTTATCAGATCAGATTTGGGTTTTACTGGACAGCTTGAGGAAGATGGCAGTGATGCAGGTGGATGTCCTTCTAGTGTCCTTACCTGACAGAACGACCACAATATGTGCATCTTCGGTGTCTGACAAGTGGTCATCAACACCAACACCAGGGTACCACAAGGAACTGTCCTCTCCCTTTTTCTATTCACCCTCTACACCACGGACTTCAGCCACTGCACAGAGACCTGGTATCTTCATCAGTTTTATAATGAGTCTGTGGTGGTTGGATGCAATAGCGAGAGTGATGAGATAGAGTACAGGGCTGTGGTGGACTTGTTTTTCCACATGTTGCGGGCATGCTGCTGGGGCAGCAGACTAAGGATCATATGTGTTAATCGTGTAAATAACACTAAGCATACTCACTTTTGTTGGTTGCTCAAGGAATTTATGCATTCACAAAGATGAATTGAGCCTGTCGTAATTAAAGCTACCACAGATGGCGCTGAATACCCACATTCATCACAGTGTGTTTGTGCGTTTAATTATTTTACAGGTTGCGCCGACGGTCATTTTCACTCCTGCAATCCTTTGCACAGCAACGTACAGCCCTAACACCTTTTTAGAACTATACGGGCAGACAGATGTATATGCAAATATTTGATCCTATTTAATTTAATGTAAGCTATCTGTATGAACCACGGTTCTGTTTTCGTCCTCACGCGAAGAACCGCTTAGATACGTTTAAAAATTGGTCATGTGATCGGTGCTGCTGGCTGCTTGGCATCCACGAGTGCTCCCTCCCAGTTCATTGGAAGAAATGGCTATCACGGAAGTGGGTGAGTAGATTCGTAACTGAAATGAGTGTAAATGATTTAATTCTTATTAAGTGTTTAATTTTCATTGGTTTACGTTAGATTTATTAAACATTAACCTTTGTACAGAGTGCAACCATAGCGGACTAACAGGAGCCGTTTTCTCCATGTTATGACCCTTTGAAGCTAATGGCTAGCTAGCCCCAGTTGCAGGGGTGATGCTCTGCCACTGCAAGAACACCTGCTGTTTACTACATGATTTGTTTTTGTTTTGTGTTTTTAAATATATATTTTTAATTAAAGGAATACTTACGATAGTAAAACTTCCACAAAGGGCAGTAATATGACTAATGTTTACACTGAGCCTCGTTTACAACCATGTAAGACACTGTAGTTGATGCAGCATGATAGACACAAATGTCTTACTCAGTCAGTGGTCACCAGTCTGGACATATCGAGGGTACGTAGGGGTCAAGGATTGGGATAAAATCCTCTGTCATAATATACAGTCACCGGATATTTTATTAGGTACACCGTGAGACTACTGAGTTCGATCCCACACTGTAGTCACAAAGGGGTGGACATGGTCAGCAAGAAAACTCAAGTATGGTATTTAAACGAGGCTCAGTTGGTGCTAAGGGGCCAAGAGCATATCCCCCACACCAGTTACACCACCAGATGCCTGTACTGTTGATACAAGACAAGGTGGATCCCTACCTTTATGCTGTTGATGTCAAATTGTGACTAAAAAAGTGGCCAGTGAGTGCGTGTAACCTATTTTAAAATATTATATTTAACATATTGTTCAATGATTTCCAGAAGCAAAAAACAAACAAACCCAAAACTATTTCATTTTTTAACAATTGAGTATTTTTAGTTTAAACACCATGGTAAACTCTGATTATGTTTGCTGGTGCTTATATAAATGATCTGATTTTGTTTTAGCCTGAATCCCAAGTTAGGTTTGAATGTCGGCATTTAGAGCTGAAATAATTGGTCAGTTATCTGTTTAAATGAAGTTTTACTGCAGTTATTTTGGTAATAGATCGATTGTTACAGTTAGTCATTTTAATGTGAAACAGTGTTTATTTTAACTAAGCTGTTATTTAATTTAAAATGGGTGTATTTCAAATGTATACTTTAATTTCTACTGTACTCCATTTTTAATTGATAGATAATTAGCAGATTTATCATCAGTGAAAATCTTTCAAACAACAATACTGTGTGTTTGTCTCCCAGAGCGTCGACGAGGTCAGCTTGCTGCTCTATCCATAGCAGCCGTTGTCATCATTGTGGGAGTCCCTTTGTGGTGGCGAACAACTGAGACATACCGTGCCTGGTTACCTGTCAGTCAGATCAAAGATCTGGCTAAACTGCAGGTTTTTTAGTGTTTCCATTTATCTCTCATGCCTTGTAGTTGATTGATCTTCCTTGTGTAATACATTCTTATCTCTACGTTATTTCTTATTTTGTAGCTGCATTTGAGCGCTGATGTCGAGGTTGTGTTTGCACGCGGCACCGTGACGCCAGAACAGCAGAAAAAGGTCCCGTTGACGCAGACGCAGGATGAGGAACATACAGTGGATGGTGATTTGCTCATGCAGTTTATGATTCTGCGGTCACAGAATATGAAGCCTGCAAGGTCGTTTGACTCTCAAACTTTCTTTCCAGAGGACACAACATTGAGGTACAGGTATGAAACAAAGTACCGCACAGCTACAATCATGGAGGAAGATGCCCTGAAAAAGCCGACTGCTGCAGGTGAGCAGCAGCCTGTCAAATCCAACTTGTGGTACTTCAGATGTTGACATTTGACATTTTTTCTCAAAGAAAGCACAGCTGATAATCACGATAATTTTTCTGCTTCAGAAGCAGATCTGTCTCTGCATATGCTCAGTGAGAGTCCGTGCGGTTCTTTAGTTGTGTATGTGATCCCGGAGTCCTCTTCTTTGCTGCCTGAGGTAAAACTGAAGCTTTTTTATTGTATTTCATGAGTGTGATCACTCCATGCTAATTACTATTAGAAAAAAGGATAATGAAGAAAATATAATTTACTGTCACAGATTGTAAATAGAGTACCTTCTGCAGAGCTTGAAACACAATTAATTATTTGTTATATTCCAGGTAAGACAAAGATAATAAAGTGCATTGAACCTTC